TGCAGGAATATCTTAAAGAATTGTATACTATGCAGCTATGAGAAATGTCGTTTAATCCATATTTTCATAAAATAATCTGATAATATTGAAATTATACAAAATCATAACTGTACATGTCTTTGAGTAAAATGTTGAATAATTCATGCATCAGGTTAATTTAAAAATGCATTAATTGAGCTGTTCAACATGTGTGTGTAAAAAAAAAAAATCACTTGAATGCAAAGCCATTAGACTCTTACCTATAGCATTGTGCAGCTTATGTCCAAAGCATTGGAGGTTGGGCCACTCTTTGACTCTCAGAGCTTTTATCATGTTCCGCTGTCTGTTGTCATACAGGCGAGTCGTTTTTCATCAAGGTTCCAGGAGCTCAGTGCATCTTTTAGCCCGTGCGCAATTGCTTCACCTTTATGGTCCTCGGGAAAGTAGGCTGTTTGAAGGCAGATGCTTCGCAAAGTCCAGTTGTCAATAAAATGCACCGTCAAACTCATATAGGGCTGCATTGTTCGACTGGACCACAGATCCGTTGTGGCGGAGTAAAACGACACCCCCTCCAGCTCTCTAGTAATCTTTTCACGAGTACTGTTGTACATGCGAGGCAAGGCAACTTCTGCAAAATATTTGCGGCTTGGTAGCACGTATCTGGGGTCGACAACTTTTAGCATGCTGATAAACCACGGCTTTTCCACAGTGTATATGGGTACCATACCTCCTGCAATATATTTCGTCACTGCATCTGTGATTGCTTTCCACCGGGGTCCTTTCTTGTCATAGGGGATACAGTTCGACAAACTTTCCAAGACTGTAGTTTTTTTTTTTTTTGGGTTTGTCAGAAGTGCGGTCTTGTTTGCGTCGTTGAAGGCACACGCCTCCCACTCGGCTACATGTTTCTGTTTAAGATGCTGAAACAAGTTTGTAGTGCTGCTACCTTTGGTAGCAATAGCTTTTAAACACACTTTGCAATGTGGCGTCATTTGTTTCGCGTCTGACACTGAAAAAGCAAACCAATTCCAAACAACGGACGTAACTGTGCCTTTCTTTGGAACTAGCTCCTCCCGGTTGACGGACATATTGTTTATGTAGCTGGAAAGCGGCGGAGGGACCACACTCTGAACTACGGAAGCCCAAGGGGTGGCGTCGTTCGTGGAAGTAAAAAAAAAAAAAATCAATTTTCATTAAAATAAATCCCCCTAAACGTCTAATTCGAGTTAATAATTAAAATCGATTTATCGCCCAGCCCTACGTCAAATAATTATAATATGATTGACATTGATGGTGGAAGAAGTGAGAAATGACACAGTTCTCTTTCAACATAGGGATGTAAAAAACTATGAATTTTCATGACCGACCACCGAGCCTCATTAACCGGTTGAAACCGGTTAACCGCGTAGTTTAAAATAGTCCACGTTCTTTGAAATAACAGCCATTTCGAGCTGCGTACTTTTCATAAGTGCAGCTCTGCATTCTACTGGATCAGAGCCGAGACAGCGGCACCAAAACCCACAACAGCTTCGGCACCTTTGCGCACAGAGAACTGCTGTTTTAATCTTCCCATTCTTCTGTGCTGCGGCTTAAAGCATTTTTAAGCAAAAGACAGCTCGCCCACATGGTCAGGGCAGCGAGTGACGAGCCGCGTCTCGCAGATCTCCGCTAAAGTTTAAAAGTGATCAGTGTGGAGCTGATGCCAAGGACCAGCAGCACAAACATGGTCCATGTGGTTTGACTGGAGCCGTGTATTTGCAAGAATGCTTTGGGCTCCGTGACACAGAGGAGCGCGACAGACCGGTATGTGTGTGTGTACAATACATGTATGTATGTGTGTATATGTCTGTGTGTGTGTATATGTATGTATGTGTGTGTGTGCAATACATCTATGTATGTGTGTGTAAATATAAGCTCCAATGTAGTTCTGACCCGCACCAGTGTGCAACTAGCAGGCGGTAACAGAGGGGAGAGATGATGCGTGTGGATGTTACGTGTCAATGGAGGGGGGGGGAATGTGTGTGTGTGTGCGTGTACATGTGTGCGTGCATATGTGGCGCGTACGGCGTGAGAGTCGGCCCAGAGTTTACTGTTACATTGGCGCACACAGCTAGATAGGGACCCGCTCGTCACATCGTGCAAATAGGGCTTAAAATAGCGTTATGAAGAGACCTCCCCTCTCCCCCTTTTCTCTTTTTTAACCGACAGCTTTGACCGGTTAACGCTGTGACGGTCAACCACCGGTTAAACGGTCACCGATTTACATCCCTATTTCAACATCAAACATTGTGTTCTGCAATTAACGCTGGTTACTCCCGACCTGTGGGCTACACCCCCCACCCTGTATAGGAGCCACTTCTACAGCCTTTGTCCTGGATCTACAGCCTCAGTCCTGGGTCTACAGCCTCAGTCCTGGGTCTACAGCCTTAGTCCTGGGTCTACAGCCTCAGTCCTGGGTCTACAGCCTCAGTCCTGGGTCTACAGCCTTAGTCCTGGGTCTACAGCCTCAGTCCTGGGTCGACAGCCTCAGTCCTGGGTCTACAGCCTCAGTCCTGGGTCTACAGCCTCAGTCCTGGGTCTACAGCCTCAGTCCTGGGTCTACAGCCTCAGTCCTGGGTCTACAGCCTCAGTCCTGGGTCTACAGCCTCAGTCCTGGGTCTACCGCTCCTTATGGACCAATGGCTCCTGTGTGTTTGCATTTCTTGTTTCTGAACTGTTTTAATCGACAACTTTGTAAAGTCGTCTGTGGCGACTGATGTTGTGATTTAGAGCTACATACAAAAATAAATGTAATTGAATTGAATTACTAACCAGACCCTGTCTTTAGCTTCAGAGGTCTGACGGCACCTCTGAAGTCTTATATTATTAGAATGGGGAGGCAGTGTCCAGATTTATGCAGTTACAATCTTCCTGAAAATGTGAGACAGGTTTCTACTCAATGTTCAAATCCAGACTGAAAACAGTTCTGTTTATCTGTGCATGTACCTGAAGGATTGTCTCTTTATTCTAATTAATTAGGCCCGAGCCCCGAACGGGGTAAGGGCCTATTGCTTTCACAATGGTGAATGCAAATGGTGGCGGTTTGTGACGGACGCGTCAACGCCCGCCACTCACCACAACATGACAGTTGTGTGCGTAAACTCAAACGCTTTAAAATGATGTATCACGTGCCATTGAAACCTATATTGTTTTTGCTCGAGACCAAAAAAAAAATTCCTTATTCCCACTAAACATCCGACGTCCACTCAACCTCCAGATCACGTCAATATCGCGTCGGTCGGTCGTGACCTTTTATTTACGTCCAAACGACGTCTGTGCAAGGTGCGCATCTGGACGTAAAACAATGACCTCCCATATACGTGGATATGACGTTCAATCCCGACCTCCCTTAGACGTCGAAAACAGGTCATCGGCTGACCGACGCAGTACGTCTTGATCTAGCGATACAATATATAGGCTGTGAAGCGATGTCAGTGTACCTGACGGTAGTGTAGTGGTTAAGCAGATGTGTGCAGCCTTGGTTACGTGAGTTCGAGCCCACGTGTGTGTATTATTATCTTTACATATTTGTTTTGATTTTTAACGAACAATTTTTTTCTGTTTGGTTAAAGACTAATAAACACTCAACATAGGATTACGTAGTGGCTAATAATAAAACTTGTGAATGTATGCATTTGTTGTGCTAACAATCTCAAGTTTGCAAATAAGGGGTGAGCACTTGAGATTTTATGCAAATGCATGGGTTCACAAGTTTTATTATTAGCCACTACATAATCTTATGTTGAGTGTTTATTCGTTTTTAACCAAACAGAAAAATTGTTCGCTAAAAAGTGAAAAGTCAAAAAATGTCCGATGGGTAGTCGAACGGTCCGTGTATTTTTCGTTCAATCGTCTTTTCAAATTAAAATGCAAAATTAAATATCAAAAAATGGCTTGAATTTTCATTTTTCATTTTGATGAGGAAAAGGAAAAACGAAAAATTGGCTTGATATTTGATTTTTCGTTTCGATGCAAAAAATGAAAAAACGAAATATTGAATAATGCTATCATGCCGATTTGATTTAATTTTTCGTTTTGGGGCAACCGGAAGTGTGCGCCAAAGTCCGTGCACCCCATTATTTTCGTCCGACTGGAAACAACAGAAAGCAGGCTGGCCTCAAGTGAGTTCAGTCTGGTTCAGTCTGGTTCAGTCTTAACCTGAAAATGTGAGGAAATAGGCGGAGGCTGCTTTCACCACAATTGCCTCTATATGCCAGTAAACTTGTCTTTATATGCCTGAAATGTGTGTCTTCGGGTCAAACACGTGACGTCGTGCACGTTCACGTTAGCTGTAGCAGCGCTGGCTGTATCTGTCACTACTGAAGCTGCAGAGAGGTGGCTCTGGAAAGATGAATACTGTGGAGAATAACAAGAGACCGCCTCCAGGCAGCGCTGAAACTCCAGCCCAAACTAAAGTAAAGTGCTTGAAAGGTAAGGTAAATACGTGTGGGCAAAAAAAGTGTTAGATGCTTTCAACGCAGCGGTCCGTGTATCAAAAGGCTACGTAGCAAAATGCCATTTCTTTTGTCAGTAACTGAGTTTTGCTGCATTTTAATTGTGGAAAGCGCACAGAATGAGGCATGGATGTCTCCTTTTCCAAAATACCAGCCCTAGTAAACCCCAGCCAGATCTCTGCGTTAGAAGGAAATAACACAACAGTTAGCATTAGCTGGATATGCTACATGAACTGATGTGCAGAGTTTTGTTTACAAACGGGGCTATTTTAGAAACAACTGCAGTACCTACAGCTTTAGCAAAGGTCTCGTTGTTTAGTTAAGAAGGAGAGGCTTACAAACATGTCCAGTATTCAGGCAATCATATGTAAATTACATTATTATTATTGCATTATTCTCAATGGATTTCAATGTGTACATGCTTTGCACATGTGTTTACCAAAGCAAGTACTAAAATGGTATGTGTGAAGTTACATTCTTTTTAACACTTTTTGTGTCCATATAGTTTGGAACAGCCAAAACTGAAACATGGGATGCACGGAGGAGATGATCGACAGATTAGTTGCCCTTGGTAAGTAAGCATATTCACTACAGTGTATCCTTACAGGCCTTTCTGTTACAGCTGACAGGACGATGGACTCTCCAGGTAATGCACTAAGCTCTTGGACATCTGATTATTATAGATTTGCTGGAATGTTTGTTTTTCATTATTTTCCCATTATCTAACTTTTTTAATTAGGAATATTAAAGGTAAAGGTGCACTTGGTTGATCCCCGCAGGGAAATTCAATCCTCTGCATTTGACATAACATGCTTATGAGTTTTTAATTTGAATTGCAACTTGTTACAAGATTATTTTGTTGTGTTCTGAACAGATCCAGAAAAGGGCAGATATCAGGGTATTATTCCTTCACTCGATGTCTGGCATGCCTCAAATAATCTAACAAAGAAACTTCGTGCTGTATGTCGAATTATATTATATAATATTGTTCTGTCAAGACTTTGTTTTAAATAACTTTGCTCTATCCCAGACCAGCGCCTCAGCTCTGCTGGGGGCTCATGACCCCAGGGCCCTGTCCTCCTCATCCCTCCTCCTGCAGCTGAACTGGAGCAGACACAACAAAGGACAGGTAGTGATGATAATCAAATGTGAAAAAAGTCTCAATGATATAAAATATAATTTTCTTTCTTTTTCTAGAACTTGATATCTGGTCCCTGAACAGAGGACAGCAATCAAAGATGGACACAGCACATTTATTTATATTATGTCAGATTTTGTACACATTTTTTCCCAAACATTGAAATAAATGTAAGACTTGTTTCTAAAGTGGTAATGAGTTGCATTTTTGTATTAATTCCCCACTGTGGGACTAATAAAGCGGGCTTCTTTATAACCAGCAGGTCGTGCTCTTCTTATTCTAGACTCTCCTGGCTGCTCCTCTTCCTCATCTTGTTGCTCCTCTTCCTCCTCCTCCTCCTCCCCCTTTCAAAGTCACTGCTCTCAGGAACTCAGATTTAACTGGACTGGAGTCCTGGAAGGAAAAGCAAAAAGATTTACATGTCACCATTTTGGAATGTATGTTTTGTACAAACTTCATTGATGTGAGCCATGAAAAAAGATGTTGAATTTATCAGAAGAGTTGATATAGTTTTATACCTACAGACAACTTGTGTAGTATTAGTAGCAGACTAGTGTCAGTAATAACACTAATAAAAACAAAACAGTAACAGTGGTAATTATGCTGTATTTTCTATGGGAATAATAATGTTGCTAATGTTAGCTTGTCTTGGCTGCAAAATAAGAGTGACTTCACTGATTTATGTTTATGAGTAGTAAATATACTACAAAAAGTCTCCATGCTACGCTAACCTTATAAGGCCCAATGATATGGGGTGAGATTTGTGTCATATTGATTCATTGATGCAAAAATATAAATTAATTCAAAATCCCAGATTTATCCATAATATCTAATTTGCGTGCTTAGATTTATTCACGTAAAATATAATTTGCACATATATATTTGTGAATAAAACGTATGTTTTGGTTTGTGAATCACTGCTTCTGTGAATAAAACGTATGTTTTGGTTTGTGAATCTGTGCCTTTGCATGTGCATTTTGAATCTGCATTTGTGAATCACCTACAGGGTGAAATCTTCTTCTTTGTGAATGTGGATATTTTTGAGACAAATTTCACACGTTTTTATGAAAAATATATGCACAGTTTTCAATCCTCCAAAAAGTTAGTTTTGCATGCAATTTTTTGAACACGCATTAGAAAATAAAATCTAATTGTATTTGCAAATCTCTGGTTTTGCATGTGAGCGTTTGAGTCTGCATTTGTGAATCACTCACCGCGTGCATTCAGCCTTTGATTCGCCGAGGATCTTTTTGACACAAATATCCCGCCGCGTGGTTTTCCCAGATTTATTCTTGCAACAGCACAGTTCCCTTCGTGACGCTTGGGGGCAGTGGGATGACGGGCCTGCACATTTCAAACAACTGGGGGTAGTGTTGTTTTCACGTGAGCTCTAATTCAATGGGTTGAACATGGCGGGACGACAGCAAGCGCCAGCCAGTGGTGAACCGCCTTCAATTGTAAGTAAAAACTCGCAAACATAATTTGTTTTATATCTGTTGACAAGTAATAATACAAGTCGTGCATTTTGTAGCGTAAATATAAAATATTCCCCTTTTAAAGTGTTGTAGTAATAGATAGACTGACGGCAACACGAAGCTAACTTTCACAGCTAACATGTTGTTGCATAGGGTTTGCGCTGCTAGATGGACATGACCATAATATTTCATTCATGTTATGACTGGTAATACAGTCTTAAGAATATATCTGGAAAATGGTTCTCAAATGGTCAGGATTTCTTTTGTTATGTCAACATCCCCGGACCAGTGTTATTGCCATTATGTCCACCGATCTTTGGCGGCTGACAGTGTGAAGTCTGGTTTTAAACTATAAATGCTCAACTAAGGTTAAAGTCTCCATGGGGAAATGCATTTGACTATTCATGCATTGCCTCTGGGGCATCTACTCAAGAGCAGTGAGCGCTCGGAGAAACATCTCCAGGTCTTTTTGCTAGCTTGGTCAGAACTATAGTTGTGCTCCCTTTTTTAGTCTCTGTCAGATGGAGCATCTGAGAATGTTGTAGTATATTATTGAAACATATTAGTATTATTTTTACACTGTTTTCATTTTCATTGTGTTGCTTATAATTACAGAAAAGGGTGGAAGCAATGGTGGAGGACCTCCTCAATACGTTGAGGGCCTCACCTGGTCCATCCACAGCCACCACACCAGCGGTCGCACCTACAGTCGCACCTACATCTAGTGCCAATCCCGCAAGAGTGCAACAGGCACTTAAAAGGTAGAATTTTAGCTAGTCCAGTGAATGAGATGTTTACAAAATGTGACTAAAGAGGTCATATTTTGGTCGGGTTTGGTCAAAGCTGAAGACATGCTGCATGAGAACATACTTTATCACAAAAACATAATAATTATATAATAACAACAAGTAACATTCACATATTTCTAGTGACATTTCTAAACAACACATTGTATGAGTCACAAAACGAATTCTCTCGGCACATGTTATGCACATATAATTTAGTATAGTTATGTTAATTGCATTGATGATTATTTCGAAAATCAATTTTTTGCGATTAATTGCTTAACTTAATGTTTCTGTATCACCTTTACAACAAAACAACTTAATCTAATTGGCTCATAATTGCTATCAATATTGAACATGATTGTTTTAATACTAGGATGTAATTACTAACTTTTTTATGTACTTAGGCAATTCCCAAATATGTTTGCCCAAAGGGAATCCAAGAAGGGAAAAGGCCGGTTTTCGTCGCGACCCATGGTCGCGCGAAACATAGATTTAAATATCTATGTTTTGCCGGCACCCACAAGTCTGACCCCGAAGCCATCCGCAGACCTGGAGCTGGCCCAAGCAGCCTTGGGAGAAGAGTACTCTCTCTCCCAGAGGACTGCAATCATACAGAGGTACTATTTTTCTACACAGACATGGATTTAATTGTAGATAGATATTCTATTGTAGCCAAAGTTGCCCTTGGACCGATTGACTCAAGTGAGGCTGTTAATCTGCACCACCAGCTCCTTTATCCACCACATTAAATACTAGAGGTCATTAAAGTGATTCTGAACACTAAATCAACTTTTTTTGCTACTAAACTGTGTTTGTGGTGTTGAAAATAGCATTAGGTGTGTTTAAGATGAAGTGCGCCTCGCCTCGATTCAGGGAGAGGCCAGGCTTTGGCGGCCGAGGGCGGAGGAAGGCGCCTTGAATCAAAGCAGACGCATCACGGCTCCGAGAACAGACAGGAGCCCTCAGATCACGCAGCGTCTCACGTTTTGTTAGGAAGAGTTTGTGAATAAAACTATTTTAAAAGTTTGTGAACGCATTTCTGCTTCTCCCACAGTCAGAGGCCTCACCATCAGAGCAAAAAAATAGACTCTCCTCTTACAGTTTAGGATTAGAATAATTAACTTCTGCTTATTTAAATATAAGTTATATGTTGGACTCATCCTTGGCATTTCCTGTCAATGAAGCATTTTATAAATATAAATAAAGTTTGATTGATTGATTTCTGCAAAGTAGATCTCTGTGATGAGGAAAAAGGAGGCAGGAGGCTGCGAAGTGTCAGAGTGACACATTTCTGTTCAAAACACAACTCAGATCCAATCACCCGTCAGTCCGTTTCAACGCACGTGTTGACTGCACTTTATTTCCCACAATCCCTTTGGCCTTTGTAGTTCAGGCAGCCAAGCAAGGCGGTGAAGAGCAACTTAGCCCGCCTCACCAAGGTGCTGCAGCCGCCTCGCTCTCACGAGAATACCGGCACAGTCGCACAGGTTGCGTCAGAGCAAGGCGGGTGCATCTTGGATACGAATCTGACCCGGTCATCTGAAACACACCCAATGTCTACTGTTCAGTCATTGTCAGGCCAATATAGTCCCAAAATTACTGTGTTTCACTGCAGTGGCTGATAACATTCGTAGTTTCTCTGTGACATCATGCTGGACGATCCTGATTACAGCCAAGTGTGTCTGGTTAAAAACACTTGTTGCAGATACCTGTGACCAACAATTACACTGATACTTATACCTTCAGACTCCGCCCCCTCTCACTTTTTCTTCTCCAGCACCGCCCAGTTTGACAGCAAGGTTTGAAATGTGGTTTTGGGCAGATTTTAGGGTACTTTAATACTAGGGTATTTTAAAGTTATACAGTTTACCTATATTCTTTTTCCTGTGATTTTTAGATTGTGAATGCAATTGAAAAAGCATTTAGCAAACTGAAGCCTCTCCAGGGACGGTGGATGTTTTTTAAATCTACAGGTATGAATGAGTAATGTTTTTTGCACACAGATCTGTGCTGTTGTTTGTGTATTTCATTAGCTTGTATGCTTTTGTTTTATACATAGGAGGAAATGGACAACGAAAGTTAACACTTGTCCCTATGGACATGGAGGGCTATAATGGCCGGCAGCTGCGTGCAGCATCCAATAATGGGAGAAATGTCCTGTTCATTGTCCCTCTCCAACAGGAGTTGGACACTGAACCCCTCCCTTTCGATGCTGCAGAATTTTCGAAAATGCCGCAGGTACCGTGCCACATTTGTGGCACCACAATACCGCTACAGTTGTTGGCTTTACATGCAGACAGCTGCGAACCACCAACCAAAGTAAAAAAAAATTCTTAAACCTAACATTACTTGCATTTTTATTTAGATAATACACATATCTTTGCTGTTGCTCAACAGAAAATGACAGATGTGGTAATCCTTGAGGACAGTGACCCAAGTCATGCTTTAGAAGAGAAGGGAGTATGTGTAATTACTTCCTTTAATCCTAATATAAAAAGTGCTCTTCATTCTTTTCCAAATTAAATTTTGTGTTGGTTGTTTTTTCATACAGAAATAAGATGAAAACACATCAGATTTTATAATTAATAGATGTACTATTCTCCTTCCCGTAGTTTTGTCCTATCTGTCAAAAGGAATTTCTGATCTCAATGCTTGCTATACATGCTAATATTTGTGCTGAAAGGTAAGTGCCATTTTAATGTCCTCAGTTGTTTTCATGTTACTTTTACTACAAATTTAAACTTAATATTATTTGATTAGGTTGATTTGAAGATTAATTATTTGTACTTCCATTGTCTTTTGTTTATGTTTATCTGTCAGCACTTTCTGTGGTAGTGAAACAGTGCAGCCAGATATGGAGGTTCCTGGAACATCATCTGGGAATTTGCTTGAGACTCAAACCAACTTGTATTCAACTGCAAAACCAACGGGTAGAATACTTACAAGTATTAACATGTTATCCATTGCAACAGTACATTTATGGCATCTGTTTAGACCTGGGTAATAGTGATGGGATTTACGGCTCTTTACTGGGAGCCAAGTCTTTGGGATCTGTTCATTTCAAAAGAGCCGTTCAAAAGACTGGCTCAATTTAGAACAACAGTTTCATAACGCCATCCAGATAACTCACAATATCTAACGCCTCATTTACACCGAGTACGTTATGTCTCTAGTTTACACAGTGTCTGTACGACTTACATCCGTCATGTAGCCTTTTAATCACATGTAAATGAGTAATGTCATCTTTATTTTCTGAGTTTAACATGCAGTGTAGGAGCTTATATACATTTCCTAGATTATAACTTCATTTTTTAGGCAATGCTTAGTGTTAACGCGTTTACTGGATTGTCCGACCAATGGCATGGCACCTCTGAAGAGATGAGACGCGGGTCACAGACTAAACCGTTTCCAGGAGATGTTGTTGTTCTGGAGTGGTGTTACACCTATTGTTATGCCAGACGTATGTAAAACGGGCCGTGGACGTAACGTACACGGTGTAAATGAGGCGTAAGACGCTATCAATAAAATAAAATCTTGTGCCACAAAATCATAAGAGGCTGCAACTGTCTGACAAATCCTTTTTAGTGCACTTACATTTGACTTTAGTGCAAAAAGCGTTCATTTGTGTCGCCTGTTCCATTGAGGCGCATTGAGTTGCCTTGTGTACAAAAAATGCGCGGTATAAATAAAGTTGCCTTGTTAGGCTGATTCTTGTGTTCTGGGTAAAATAGACTGAAAAAATAGATCCGGCTCTTTTTCACAATTGAGATCTGGTTTGAGCCGTTTGCCTCAAAGAGCCAGTTGATCATGAACGTCACATCAATACTGGGTAACAGGTAGAAATTCATTTTGATATTTGTTTATGGATTTCTGATTTGGAAAAAATATATACGCTCTTCTGCCTCTGTCCCGGCTCCGTATGGTTGGAGGGCCTCGCGGCTCGGCTAAGTGCGGGGCTAGGCCCCTAGCCGAGTCCGTTGGCTGCAGACTCCAGTCTCGCCACAAGGCCTGCATGTCCGGGCCGAAGGAGGGACGTCTGAGAGAAGGGCAGGTCCGAGCAGCTGCCTCATCTCCGCCTCACCTGATATTTAGCCACCCAAGCCAAAGGTGCTGGCCCCGACTTGGGCGTCGCCATGGGAGCGCCACCGTCCACGTCTAGCGACTGGCAATGCGCAGAATCGGCCGCCGAGAGGTCCTCGCTGTTGACAGGAGGTTCTCCCTGAGCTCACATGGCCAAAAGAGCGACAGATTCAGGGCCCCGCGTATGAATGCCATGTTGTTAGCCAATGCGACAGCCCTTGCCGCATTGGGCATAACATACTATCCAAGCATCGGCAAGACATCCTTCCCGCTCGGAGGGAAGGAGAGGTCTGGTGCCGGCAGTGGCGGAGCCGAGGGGTCAGCCAGGGTGGCCACGCCACCTCTAAAACTATCCTTGCCACCCCAGTGCCCCCCTCGAAGAGACGGCAATGTAATAATGTTAATCTTGAGATTCTTTCCGGCACTGTTTCCCGCCAAAAGCTAAAAATTCCCACGGTTTTTCCCCCGTCGTGAACAGCACACCTCCCTGACTCCGCGTGGAGCGTTACATATAATACATCCTTTGGTGTGACCAGTGCTGTATCTAATGCTTGGTGTTGGACTCAGTGTGCCCAATCCCCGCGATCAGATGGCGCCCCTATTCAAATGAAATGGTTGTGCTCTTGGAGACCCACCTGTCACAGGCGAGACCACCGTCGCGGCGAATTCAGCGCCATGTGCCAGACGCTAAGCCGTGGACGTGGCCGCTCCCATGGCTGCAGCCCAATCGGGCCATGCACCTTTGGCTTGGGCTGGGCTAATATCCCAGGAGCGGAGAAAGGCAGCTGCTGGACATGCCCATCTCTCAGGACGTTCCCTCTTCGGCCCGGACATGCAGGCCCTTGGTGGCGAGACTGTGTCTGCAGCCAAACGACCTACGGCTAGGCTAGCCCCGCACTTAGCCACCGAGGTGCGCCGGAGGCCCACAACCATCACGGAGCCGGACTTGAGCCAGAGAGCTTTCGCCCGGGAGGCAACCTGACACCGTAATCCGCGCTCTGTTGTCCATCCGTCCCCCCCACGACGAGGCCCCTCGGTCAGACAGACCCACGTGGTGGCTCGCGGAGCAACGCCCCCACCGCCGGACCTCCCCAATGGCAGAGGAGGTCGGGTGTAAAGTTTCCTTCATAAAGCCGACCGCATTCATCATTACTTGTTTTCTAGTTCTCAATGGGTATGTAACAATCAAATAAATTGTAATTCAGATTGTGTTACTTCTCGAGCACATAACGTTGCTACTCGCTCAGGCCGGCAGCCCCCCCAGAGCAGGGTTTGCATGCGCTACGCGAGCTACGAGCTCCGGGCCCTCTGATCCATACTATGCCGCCCAGAGAGAGGTCAGGCGGAGGATCTGGTGAGTAGTGGTGTGTGATGCTTCGGCCGAACGCGTGTTAGCATCTCGGAGCTACAAGCTAATACGGGGTTCCCACTCCAGGGCCTCGCCCCCCCCTACTTGAGGCAAGAGCCATGGGGGGGCACAGCAAGCCGAAGTCACGTGGGATGAGGCAGTCCCCCGTACTTCATGAACGTCGGGAGGCCCTGCAGGACATTAGACCGCCCCCGGCGCTCCACGTGTGACGCAGGGGCCCCCGGCCCTTTCTCCACCCCCCCCTCCCCTGCGAGGAACACCAGAGAGGGCGGGGCCGTGCGTCTCAGTGTTCCAGCTCGCCGTTCCGCCCCATCACAGACTTTCACAGCACTGAGGGAAGCTAGGTTGCTGACAATATCTATGGCCTGTGAGAAACATGGCGCAGCGGGTACTCTCCTGCAATTCTCCCGAAAAGCCACCACCATCGCATGGCGACGGTGAACTCTGGCAGTGGGCAGCGCTTCACCTCTGTCTACTCAAGGGCGCGCGCAACGTCCCGGGGTCTGCCGGAAAGTGGGGCCGACAGGTATGTCCAGGGGGGCCCACGCGCATGACAGTGGGGCCTGGCCCCCCGGTATCTGCGGAGATGCTGGCGGAGGTTCGGCCGGCCAGTGGTTGACCTTTTCGCCATTGCAAAAACGCACAGTGCCCGTCCTGTTGCCTTCAGGCCGCGGACCAGCCCCTCTAGGCATTGGGCGCCTCTGGCTCATTACCCCCCTGGCCAGAGGGCCTGCTGTGCGCTTTCCCACCAGTGGCTTCTCCTCCCGGTCCTCCTGCGGAGGATCGAACAGAGAGGAAGGTCGGTGATCCTGGTGGCTCCCCGGACCAGTCCGCTGGTTCCCGCTATCCTGAGGGCATGGCGGTGAATGGAGCCCTGGGGCCCACCCGGACCGAGCCGGGGCTCTAGTCCAGGGGGGGAACCCTGTTTTCACCGCCGATAATCGGCCGCAGGCTCTGGGTTTGGAGCAGAGAGAGGCGGTACCTCGTAACTGGTGTCTTCCCCCTGCGGTGGTGGAGACCATTCAGGGGCGAGGGCGCCGTCCACTGTGAGGGCCTACGCCACAGTGGAGCTCTTCAGCGACTGGTGTGGTTTCGTTCCTGAGATCCTCAGCGTTGCCCGCCTTGGTGTGGTCCTGGCTTCCTACCGAAGCTTTTTTGACCATAAAAGGAGGGCTGTCGCCACCTTGCGGTGTTCCGCGGCAGCCATTACATCGGGTCACTACGGATTCGGGGGGTTCACTAGCCCTCTCATCCGTTTTGGTTATACGTTTTTCTTCGGGGGCGCGCGGATGAGGCCCCCGCTCCAGAGACCGCCCCGTTTGGACCTCCATCGCGGGTGGTCCTTTAAGGGGGCTGTCGGGTCCGCCTTTTGAACCGGCGGCGGCAGCGAGTCCCGATTTGTCGCTTTTTGAACGGCCCTCTTCGCTGCCGTTGGCGTCTGCTAAGAGGGCGGGCGACTTGTGTGCGCTCCTCTGTCCCATGCGGTCTTGCCTGTCCTTTGTGAGAGGGCGACGGCATGGTGGTAGTGTGGCCCAATCCGGCCTTTCTCCCCCAAGTTCCTCACGTCGCCTTAGTTTCGAGAGTCATCAGGATTAGTGCTTTTCCTAGTCCGCCCCCGGCATGCCTCCCCGAGGAGGAGCGGCGTCACCTTCTGGGTCCCTGTCAGAATTGCTAGGGCATTACTGGCCATGACGGTCGTCATTCAAGGGTTTGTGGGTCTGGGCCCCAAGAACAGGGGCGCCCCGCTGTCGGATCAGCGGCTGGCCGCACTGGTGTGGCCCACGGCGTGCGCCGGTGCGTATCAAGACGCAGGTCTGGCCCCCCCGGTGGGCTTCAGGTCGCATTCCACACGTGGTGGCGGCCTCTACGCCCCTCCTCAGGGGGCGTCCGTCAGGACAGGTCTGCCGTGCGGCTTCTTGGGCGTCGTCCTCTTCTCGTCCGGTTCTTACTTTGGATGTGGCGACCGTCGGTGCCCATGCCGTGCTGATGTGCAGCGTACTGAGTAAAACCTTAGTATCCCTCCTCTGAGGGGGCCCTTCGCTTGACTTTCCGCCCTGGTTCAGAGCTCTGGGAGAGCATCCTACGAGGAGCGGTACGTGGTTTGTTGTTTGGTCGGTTCAGGTAGTCCACGTCTGTGTCCCTACTATCGAAGATCCTAATGGACGTACGCACCATGAACGTTGAATAATAGTTACCTAATGTAACTTAAGTTACTACAATAGGGTCGTAGTCCCTTAGCTACGAGCCCAGATCAGCCACCCGGCTTGGCAGAGTTCAAGAGGGGGTGCGCGGTGACAGAGGGCGGGCCTTTATAGAGGAGGGCTGGTGATTGAGCAATTATGTTGATCCGCTCTCTGGCGTGACCTGTGGGTCACGAGCGCTATCCCACAACGAAGTCCTAAGGGACTACGCACCTGTCGTAAACTTAAGTTACATAGTAACTATTAAATACTTGCATTTGCAAAAATGAATCATTAGCTAAGGGTGGTACATATATTGAGCTTTGCTTCCTCTTCACGATAAGACAATAGTCTGATACAGTGACCCGCATTACCACCATGCTGCACAAATCCGTCTGATATCCTCACTTCATGATCCATCCTTCCTCTCACTGAGAAACAAGAACCTAGAGACTGTAAACTCCTCCTCTTGAGAATGACAACCTCAGAATCATATCAACACTAACAACACGCAACCACACCCCCACGTACAGGACCATCATTTTTAACACACACAAAGAATATGTGAAATTCACATTCTGACAGCTTTTGGCCGCTGGCATCAACTACGTCAGTGAGTTCTCAAACGTTTTGCACCAGTACCAACCTCAGAAATACTTTCCTCTCCACTACCACCAAAAAGACCAACACTATACAGTTGCGTATAAGCCTAGTATTCATCAAGACAAGCAGAGTTTTCATTCCTAAGAAGAATATTTAATATTGTGAGTCCATTTAACAATTACTCATTTTACAACAGTACTACTGTGCTTAAATATAGGAGAAAGAAAAAACTAAAAAACTGTCACTTAAATAATGAGTCAAGTTAAAT